TTGAGTAAGCGAAGGGGCTGCTTTGGATTTACACTGGTGTTAGCGAGAGCGGAGTCTGGCCCCTTGTCAGCGAGGCTATCAGGAGCTGCGCCACAGTTTGTGTGGAGCAAAGGAAGTTGCATTTATTCACTGGAGATCGCCTGGCTGGGGGCCGCAGTGCTCCTCGGATGTTCTGCGAGTCCAGATGGTGAAGGGGGAGACAGAGGCTGCATTTCCCAAAGGAAATTCCATTAATCTCTGCTTCCCCCTCACCAAACTTCTCAACTTGCCTCCACAGACTCCTTAATCCTGCCAGTTCGTGTTGCCTGCAGCTGAGAGACTCCTAGCCTGGCACGATGTACATGGGAAAGCCGAGCGGGTGGGAGAGGAAAATGGCACCCACCTGCCTCCAACGGGTGGGGAACTTGATGGGGCTGGTGGCAGCTGGTTCAACCCTGGCTGGATGGGAGAGGAGCCCACATGCTGAGCGGACACTGGGTTGCTCCTGTCCTTCAGGGTCACTGGCACTCAATGGCATAGGGAGGAAGGGAGGCGATTGGTCACTTGCTCTCCCCTTTCATTAATTTAAACCCTAGTTTGGGCCACATGGTGCCGCTTTGTGCGCTGTTCAGTGTGAGGGAATGGACTGGGCAGGGTTCTGATACTGGGCATGGCAGGAGGGTGGGGTGTGATCAAGCTTGTTGCTTTCACCCTCTTATCCCAAGGCCAGTTTCCAGTGTGGTTAAAAGGAATGGTTCCCTGAAGTAAAAGACCTGGGCTCTCACTGTGAGCCTGGAGCTCACAGGATAGGGGAAGACCTTGTGGCCTGCATGGGCTGAGGTTCCCCCTTTTTGTACCCTCTGCCCCCATCATAGGCTGCAGGGAGAGGGGGGGACTCAGAAGAACGAGCTCAGTTCTAGGGTAGGCTGAAGAGGCCGGGTTATGGGTCATGTGGCTGGAGACCCCGGAACTGAAACCACTTAAAATGCCTGGCAGGTGAGGGTATGGGTGGCAGGGCGGGTAGCACCACTCCTCTGCATTAAGTTGAATAAAGTTGACAGCCTGATGCTTAAAATCCATCCCCTTGTTTGTCCGCCTACACCAAAGGATCGCAGCTGGAAGGCCAGGCTGCAGTGCACCCACAGGGTGAGGACACCACCCCATGGAAGCCAGGGATGAGACAAGCATCCTTAACGCTTTGGGGTCTGGAGGCTCCGGCAATTCATTGTCGATCGTGTCTCTGTTTTTGCATAGCTCGTGAGTTCATTGTTCTGATTAAAGGAGGGGCTATAGCAGACTCTCCTCTTTCTCTTCTACGGTGGCTTCTATTATGTCTCCCTCCCCTAGGTGGAGAATCTTTGACATGTGGTATTTCTAGTTGCTTCAGGCCAGGAGAGAGGGAGCGGGGGTAGTGGGGAAAGAGAGCAGCAGAAAGGGAATGAGACTGGGATCAGTCACTAGCCAGCTTGATAACAAATTCAATGACACAGAGAACAATTTTTCCCTGACGCTGCCAATTCTTTAATGACTTTGACGCTAAGGGCCCCAAAGGAGGGGAACTTTGACTCTGCAAAAAACCCTTTGCTGAAGCAGAATTGCTTTATTTAAGGCTACGTCAGGCGTGTTTAAATATTAAAGGTTGAGCAATAATGGATGATATTCGTTTAGGTTGTAAGTGCTGATTGGTAGCCCTCATTTACCGAAGGCAAGTGGTTGTGGGCATGTGCGTGCTGGTAGCAATAATTGGTCTTTTATCTTTTGGGCCAGCTGGCCCCTAGAGGGTGACATGAGCATATATAACCTCCGCTCAGTGTATGCTACATGTTACCCTTTGTGCTTGATACACAGGATGCTGGTATGCTACAGCTCTCAATCTGCTACTCTGGCTCTGTAGTGCATGCTTTTAGCCCTGGAGATCCCCAGTGTGTCGACCAAGATGGCAGCTGTCACACGAGACCCATTAGGAGATCTCAATTGGCTTGCCGTCTGGCCCCTTTGGCTGAGTAAGGCCAAGCATGGCTCCCTCTGGAACCCATCGATGCTGCTCCAAACATCATCCAGTGGGAGGGGCGCAGGAGCAGCACTTCCCGGAGGTGCCTTGTGTGTGCCTGTGTCCACAGTGAGTATATGAAGTAAAGCATGGGGAAGGACAGTTTCTGAATCCTCAGAAAGGTCTGGCTACCTCCCACCATAGAGGGGAGAGGGGAATAAAGGTGACCCCTTTCCATGACGCAGAAGCCCCCCGCCGAGGAATCAGACAGACACACCTCCCTTCTTTGTGCTGCTGGTGTTTATTTTGGGTTTGTTTTTAATCCCTACTGTTAAACTTTACAAAGTCCTCATGCCGATACGTTGGTTTATGTATAAAATATGTACAGGAAAGCACTGCAGGAACCATCGCGCCCCCTAGGCCGGCCAGGCGTGCGAGTGAAAGAGTGCTTCTCTCCTTGGCGGGGGAGGATAGGGTCGAGAAACGTAACGATTTCCAAGTACATAAGCAAATATTTACAGGTGACAAGACAAAAAGATATATCTCCATTGTCGTCTCCAGGAGAGAGGGGAGCAGCAAAGCCCCCTCCCAGCTCCATTTCTTATATTGATTTATAAAGACTGCGTGTATCGATTTTTACAGGCGGTGTGTCTGCCAAGGATGTACAGCTCCGACTTTTGCTTGTGCTGGCAAGAGGTCGCAGAAACCGCTCCAGCCATAGACTTTGGCGCAGCGTTATGGAACAATGCCTCCGAAATACTCCCATGATCTAGAGTAAATGCCACACAAATGGGGAGTCCATTCCAGGTGTGTGTGTGTGGGGTGGGGGAATCCAGCCTGAGCTTTCCCCAGGGCTGTCCTGGTGTTAATGCAATGGAAGCCTAAAAGCTGTCTTTGCAGATAGAGATCTCCCTTTGAGCTGCTTAATTTATTTGGAGTAAATAGGAGAACCTGGGCTGGATTTCTGTGCCCGCCTGGAATGGATGCAGCTGGGGGATGCTCGAGTAGTTACAGCTTCTAATAGGATTTGGTGGTTAGAATGGCTTGTTAGAATGGAATGCCTTTAAATAGCCATGAAAGTAGCTAAGCAGGGTGTGAGGTTAAAGGCAGTGGCCACCAAATGCTGTTCATTGACTCATTGTAACACAACTGAAAATGCTGATCTCTAAAACTAAACCCTGATGCCACTGATCCGCAAAATCCCCACTGATCTGAATGGGCCTGGGATTTGTCTCCCCATGTCTTCAAGCTTGTGGAGAGTGTAATGTGGATTAAATCTACAGCTGGGCAAGGGTTTCCCAGTACTTTAGCTTGAGGCACTGGGAAAAACCTTGCTGTACTTCAGTCTGGGTCTGGCTTAAACCCAGGAGCTGGGAGAGCTGCTAGTTTATTTCATGCTCTGCCCCATTGCATTGCATCAGCTCTGCTCTGCTCTGCTCGGAAATGGTGCAGAGGAAGGCGTGCTGCCCTGCATGCATCCTCTCCAGTCCTCATGCAACAGCTTGGGCAGCAGCCAGGCAAAGAAACAAGGTAGCGTCCCTCCCGGCCACTCTGTGAGTGAGAGGATGGGGAGGATAGTAAGGAGCAGAGACGGAATTACAGACCACAGAAACATGCGAGTGAACTGCTGTTGTGTTCCACTGCAGCTTCCGACCAAGGAGAGAGCATAATGCCAGGAACCATAAGCTCTGGGAAGAATGCAAGGGATGGATGTCTTCCCGCCCTGCATCCACTCTCACACACACTTTCAGACCTGCATGCATACAGGTGCTTGTACTTGTGCAGCCATGTACTTGTAGACTTTTGTATACACACGCAATGTTGGTCTGTGCTCACACATACTCGTGTCACTACATACACCCAGCTCACACACGTGCACAAGCACTTTAGGAAGGGGGTTTAAAGCTAAACCAGAGTTTGCTCTGCCCGCGCTCTACCTACAGGGCTGTCTTCTAGGATCTGCATTATTCCCTCTTGCAATGAATCATTTGCAGTGGTGCTTGATGGTAAATACACTGAAAAGTCCTGCAGTTCTCTAACCACTGAGAGCTATCACCTCTCTGCCAGCAAGTTATACATGCTAGGATGCAGCTGGCACAACGGTAGGAGAGCGCGGTATCCACAGCTGCTTCCACTAGCATTGATACTGAATTATCATGGTCCACTCCAGTGGACTGAGAATGAGAATGGGCGCCAGGAACTCCTGACTTCTAATCCCAGCTCTGCCACTGACCCCTTTTATGGCCTTGGTCACATCACTACACCTCTCCATCTTGCTATCTCTGCAATGGGAGCCCAAAGGGGTATTATTTTAGAAATGGAGCCACAGCAGCAGCCCTTGAGGACTGAAGCAGCGCTAAGAAATGAGGCTGCTGGCTTGTTCTAGTTCTAAAAACACCCATCAAGCACCAGGGTGCTGGACAACTTCCCCTCCATTGTTGTATGTTACCACTAGGGCTATTTCACTGCATGTGACACAAGCTGCATCACAGAGTGTGACGCATGGGCAGCCCAGCTCAAGGGGTTAGCTTCTGGGACCACTCTCTCACCAAAACTCTTCAGCCCCTGCCAACCTAAATCACACTTTATTTCCTTAAATCTATGTGCACAAGAGGGCGAGAGGTCATGAACAAGTGAGCGCAAAGGTCTGCACAAGTTGGTACTGGCTTTGCGTGAGTGTGTGCAGCAAGGCGTGCAAGGGTTTGCGTGAGAGGGCTCAGAATTAATTGATATTTGCACGGCAGGCTGCTTGCACAAGTGGTTTGCAAATGCACAAGCAAGCCTTTGCATAAGTGGGTTCTATATGTGCACAGCTATTTGCAGGGTGGGGCCACATTCAGTATCGACACCACTATTTTCACAGGGGAGGGTTCTCCTGTGCACACCTGAGCAGGTGTGATATGTGATGATGGGTGTACAAGGGAGTAATCGCATGAGACAAGCTCGTGGACCAGAGGGTACGTGGGTGCGTCAGTTTCTACTTCTTGATCCCAGAGCGTGGCAGGTCCCCCAAGTTCAAACTGTCCATGGTCTATGCTGGTGACACTTGACTGGAGGAGACGGAGGATACCTCGGTCTTGCTCTGGGATACGGTCGAGGAGACGTCATCATCCCCAAAGGGGTTCTTACCGCAGCAGATTGTGGTGATCATGCAGTTACGGAACTGAAGGGAGAGAGAGAGAGCAGTGGCACCTTTGCACAGCACATACCTCCACGATGGCCAGTGGAGCCGTCCCTCTGGTCACCAGACAAAGAGCACTTTGCTGGGTTAGATATAATACCTCGCCCACTACAGAGATGCTACCACCTCGTGGCGAAATGTGGCAGCTGTTCCAACTGCATAGGCAGCACTAAACAAATTAAGGCAGAAAGCGACAGATACCAGATTCAACTGGAATTTGTTCTGGGACTGGAATAGCAGGGGTGTGCTATTAGGCAGGAGGAAGATGCATCTGCACAGCTGTGGTGAAGCTCACGACTGGAGTAGCAAGAAGACTGTACGTCAGGATCAAGGTGTGTTGGCAGCACCGACACTGGACTGGGATAATAGAGGGATTGAGTTGGGTTGGCAGGGCTGGGTGGTGTCCCAGGGAGTGGAGTAGCAGGGGTGCTGCAGGTTGGGATCAAGGTGCATTTGGAGAGCTGAGTAGAGGGAGCCCAGGGATGGAATAGCAGGGGCGGAAGCTGCAGGTCAGGACTGAGGTGCATTGGCTGGGGACGCAGAACTGTGAGAGCAGAGGGTGCTATAGGCCAGGTTCAGGGTGCACCCTTAGAGTTCTGGGGGAAGCCTAGGACAGGAACAGCTTTGGCAGGGAGGGTTCCTCTGCCTGGCCCTGGGAGTCTCACCTGTTTGTTCATGAGGACATAGATGATGGGGTTGTAGAGAGAGGAGCTCTTGGAGAAGAAGGCAGGCACTGACATGAGAGTAGCGGTGAATTCCGCCCCCTTGTTGGTGAAGATCCAGAATGCCACCAAGGCATAGGGCGTCCAGGCCATGAGAAAGCCCAGAACCATTAGGATCACCATGCGGGTCACCTCCCTCTCCGCCTTCTGGGTGCTTGCCGACTCCTGCTGCTGCGCGGCTGCCTGTGGGAAAAGGAGAGGGCAGTGAGCCAAGGAGCATATTGCACAGTGCTGAGCTGTCTCCCACCAGGCAAGCTAGAGAGAACTGGATATCTGACATGGCTGGAGTCAGGGGACAGAGAGCAGGTCGGAACCCCTTTGCTGGGAAAGCTGACCCCTGGGCCGAAGACATTTCAGTTGGTATTGCGTTATGCCCAGAGGGGATCTAACCACTGCACAGAACATGGATGAGATCCAGGGGCAGGGGCTAGCTCCACGGCTCTGAACCCGGGCTAGTTCTGGAGCACAGACTAGATTTACACATGGAACGTGGAATGGCTCGCACCCAAGGCAGCACCCTCCAAGTCATAAAGTGCAGCCGATAAACTCTCTTACTTGAAGAAAGGAGAGGCTGAAAGGGGCACACGCGTGACCCTGATTTGCGCTTGCGGAGAATCATCCCTGCTTTCGATCCCCCTGTGAGGCTTTGAGCCCCCTCACCGCCCGCTGATAAATTATGGGTGTGAAGTTTTATGTCTCTTGCCTCTCTGCTAAGCCTGGGCCTGCCTCCAGAGGAGATGGGGGAGTGAACAGAGCTAACACCGGGGGCGATTCATAGATTCCAAGGCAAGAAGGGACCACTCTGATTGTCTAGTCTGACCTGGCCAAACCCATGCAGGCTTGTATTGCCCATTGGATGGTGCTACTTGTGCTTCAGGGAGCCTGTTCTCCAGCTGAGGACCAACACCCTCTACCCTCTCATGCTCGTCTCTCTTCGTCAAACCCTGAGCAGCTCAACCCACACACTACCTCTCGGACTTTGCATATGAGCCGCCCGTAGGAGAAGAAGATGACCACCACCGGGATGATGAAGTGGATCATGAACATGTAGACGACGTAGGATTCGTTGTGGTAGTCAGGGTTGAGGGTGTAGTAATCTGGGCCACAAGAGCACTGCATGCCCTCGGGTATGTATCTGCGGAGTGAGAGAGCAAGCAAAGCAGAAGGGTTAGGTCGCGCATTTCACAGGGGCCCCCGTGAATGGGGCTGCGTTGAAACTGGTGAGGTGACCTAGAGTCTCTGTGTCTGTAGCAGGGTGTCTTGCCCGTGGGCTGGAGAGCCTGCGGCTAAGCCAGCCCTTGATTACAAGATGAGCCCCACAGGAGAGCAACCAGGTGATTGCAGTATAAAAGGCAGCAGGCACCTGCAGGCAGGGTGTGTTTGAGAGCGTAGCTGAGACTTCCAGAGGCAGGAGGAAGCCTGGCAGTAACCCAGGGAAGCCCAGAACACAGGAGGTTGTGTGGTGCTGGAGCTGGTGGAAGAAGGCACTGCAGAGAGCACGCATGGTTCTGCGGAGCCCGAGCCAGGTAAAGCCTGTGAGTGGACATTGAAGAAGGGAAGATGGGGAACTTCATGTGCGTTTGGACTTCTGAGTTCTGGTTTTGGATAAACTCTGTTGCTAGCCGGGGGAGAACGGGGGAAGAGTGAATGAAGAGATTGAGCTCAGAAGGTCACTGGAGCCTAAGCAAGTTCGTAGAGGGGCTTGGATGACGGGGAAGTAGAGGCAGAACAGCCACAGAGGCAAACCTCGCCACGATGGGTCACTCGGCAGGCACGGAGTAGCCACGGTGCTGCATTAGCAATTCCTGGAGCCTCTGAGAATGATAGCACCAGCCAATGGCGCTGTGGCCAGGCACTGTGTGTGCTCCTTCCAAATTTCTCAGCCCATGCCCTTCAATCCTGACCTGCAGCCCCCACCCTCTGCAATGCCAATCATAGAATCATAGAATATCAGGGTTGGAAGGGACCTCAGGAGGTCATCTAGTCCAACCCCCTGCTCAAATCCTGGGCTCCCCATGCCCAGCTCTGCCAATGCACCCCCTCTGGCATATTGGTGTGAGGCAGAAGTGCATGCTTCCACATGGGGCTCTGGTGAGCCTGCTGCACTCCTTCTCTGGGTGACGAGAGCTGCCATGCCCCAGGGCCATGCAGCCCGGGAGAGGATCATGCAGGGGCGGTGATTCATTCAGGAGAAGGCGGCATGTTTGCCGTTTGCTCTGTGCTGACACATTGCACTTGGACATGTAGACATCAGTTTGTTGTGACAGACGCTCTCTCCCACGGGGAGCAGGCGATTTATTCCCGTCCCTACACGGCTGAGCATTTGGCTGCCATGTGCCACCTGTTCTTTCTCCTGAGGAGCAGAGATGACGGGGAACCTACTATGGCTCAGTGCAGGTATGAACTCTGAGGTGTCCTGGACTCCCTGCTGCTGAGAGGCTGCGTCCCTGACCATCTTGCCTAATAGCCATTGATGGACCTATCGTTTGCGTCTGTTTAAATTTTTGCCTGTAGAATTCAAAGTAGAATAAGATTCTTTCCATAGGCTTTTCAGAGGAGCCTACAGAATTCAAAAGAGGATTCTTTCCCTGCTGTAAAATTCGATAGGAAGGATTTTGATTTTAATAAGACCTATAGGATGGATCTCGTCCTCTATGAACTCCCATTGGACTTCGGAGTAATATTTGTTGTGGGTCGAGCTTGGGTTGTGGGCAAAGCTAAATGGACCCCGGTTACATTTCTGCAGCATCCTATTGGTTTCATCCCTAGTCAGTTCTTTAGTGCTTTTCCATAAAGAGAGAGATTTGTGGGGGGCGGGGAGGGGGTCCAAACTAAAAACCCCTCTGATATTTCTTAGTTTATCAGATTTTGGGTTCCTATGACTCAAAAGCAGCTTTGTTACTTTTAATAGCTAATGTCCTGATCCCTGCAGAGTCACGTAAGTAAATTTACTCAAGCAAGTAACCCCATTGACTTCAATGGGTTTGCTGCCAGGAGTAAATCTAAGTCTTTTTTGGGATCAGGTCCCAAATTTGTGCAGCAGGAGGGCTGTGGCAAGGGCAGTTGCTTTGCCTGTGCTGGAGGGGAAATGACAAGTGAATTCATGAGAAAGACACCAGATTGACAGCCCTCCTTAATGCTCAAGTCCTGTGTTTATCCACGGAGTCTATACAGCAGAGGCTTCCCATACTGTGCTTCAGTCCTGACCACCCAGCTCCTGGCCAATGTGATATTTGGGCTCAACTTGAAACAATAAGGTCTACGCCATGTGTAATCTTAATCTTAATTCATTGATTTAACTGGGATTTACTGTTATATGTAAGGATTAGTCCCGGGAGCTGCCATTGCAGGATTGGGCCCCTACCTCTTCTTCACTCAGAATTCTGCTCTTGCTAGGTTAGTCTGCAGTGACTGCTGGAATGGGGACAAGTGTGTGCGTGGCTGGCTCCCCGGAGGAGAACACAGCTGTTCGACGGAGCGCAGCTGGTGGCCTATGGCATTAGACAATTGTATTATGAGCAGACCGTGCTTCCTCCTTGCTCACAAGCAAGTACAGAGAGTCTCTTCTCCCTTTGCTTGGTGGCCTGGGCTCCTTTGTCATTTCCCCTCTGCGGTAGCAAGAAAAGAATATGTAGGTCTGTATTTGCCCTTCCTGTGGTGAGTTCTCACTTCCTGTGGTTGGGCTGATCAGAGAGCTTTCGGGCCTGGAACAGCAAGGGAAGGGGTTGCAGGTCGGGATTGCGGTGTCCCAGCAGAACTCTGTATGGGACTCAGAAATGGAATAGCAGGTGGTGATGTTGGGCCAGAATGAAAAGCATTGGCAGAGATGGGGTGAAACCCGGGACTGGACTATCAGGAGATACTGAAGATCAGGACTGAGGTGGTGCCTTAGCAGCGCTGTATGTGGGGAGTCTAGGACAGGAATAGCAGCGGAGGCTGTCGGGTAGGATAGAGGTGCGTTGGCAGAGCTGTGTGAGGAAGCTTGTAATGCCCAGATGCATGAGGTTACATTTTCAGGAAGCATCCCAAAGCACAGAGTCTGATTCTTCTCTCATTAGCGCTGGCATTAATCAGGAGTAAGTCCATTTAAGTCAATGGCATTACCCCAGTATCAACCCAAGATACACAGATCAGGTTCAGCTCCATAATTGCTTCCGTGCTTCCAGGGCTCATGCACAGGGGGACACCTGAGTATTTGGGATTCAAGTATTTAGATAGCAGTCTTTGTCCGGATGGTGTAAATACTGTCTGTGTTTCGTATTACTCACCTGGACCAGCCAAACAGGGGTGGAGCAGCGCAGGAAAAGGACATGACCCAGGTAAAACTGATGCCCATCAAGGCATGGGTGGCAGAGAAGCGGAAATTGCCCATGGGCTTACACACCACGATATAACGCTCTATGGCCAGGACAACCAGCGACCACAGGGCAACCTGACCTGGGGGAGAAAGAGACAGACAGAGCAATCTAACATGAGTGAGCTGTTAAAGGACATTGGGGACAAGAACTTGTCTAAACCTGCTCTTATCTAAACAGAGGGGAAGGATGGTCTGGTGGGTACAGTACAGAACCAGGAGTTGCGTCACAGGGCTGAACTGGATCCGGTACCCTGCAGCTTCCCCATCTCACTGTGGCTTGAGCAGAGTCTGCCTTTAGAGTGCCTAAGAGTCTGCCCCCAAAATGGCCATATAAAGAGCCCAAGGGCCTTTTGAGTCTCTGAGTGTCTTGTTTAGGGCCCTGGTCATTTGTCATCCCCTAAAGTCAATGGGCCAAGTCTCGACCTGGTGTGAGGAAATACGGCTCAAGGCATGAACCCTCGCTTGCACCATGTCTGAACCTGTCCTGATGGCTCTAAGAGTCTAAATGGGTATTTGGTATGTGTTCCCACTGCAGGAGAATGAGCCTGGGCAGGTGCTGGTGTGTTTATTTATCAAAGGATAATCAAACCTTAGGGGATTATGAGTGTTTAGCCTGTGCCATAAGCCTGTTAATGCCTCCAGCACGTGCTCATCCGCTGATAGCTACACTCTCTGTTCAGCTTTCATGAAGAACAGTAGCTCTTGCGGCTTCCCTTTAGCATAAACTTTTTTCTTTCTTTCCCCCCACAGTTGAGACTCTCCTTGTTCTTTGCTGGGTAGAAATGGGAAGCCTGGATAAGACAGAGGGCCTGAAAGAGCATGAAAGGTTAGAAGCTGTTGTCAGGCACAGAGATGGGGCCTTTTCACTGAAGGAATTAGTGATGACACTAAGTGGCCCTTCTTCTGCTCCCTAATATAGACCTGGCCCCACTTCCAATCCCTGGCATAGACCAGATTTGTTGAGCCTCTTTTCCTGGTGGCAGGAATATCCCCATTGCCTCAAATGTATTCAGGAGTGAAAATTACCCAGTGAAATTTTAGCCTTTTTTTTTTTTAAATTCCTTGCATTGATTGAAAACTGTTCCCTTCAAGAATTTGCTCTCTGAGCTGTGTTTGGTTGGCCGGATAAGTCCGCAGGTATCATCTCTCTTTGCTGGTTGGATGAGCACAGAGATGTAAAATTAATTCATGTTGCTTGAAAATAGACTTTTTTTTGCAAGTGGTTGTGCCACGGAGAGTCGATCGCAACCCTGCTTGCAGGAGTGAAAGATCAAAGAGCCACGAGTGCGGTCAGATCAGTTGGGTTTGAAAACACCGCTGGATAGTCACCGCTGGAAAATTTCTGCACTGCTTGTGCAGCTCTGCTCAGAAATAGAGACTGAACCCTGTTTCCACTCCTTGAGACTGACCATGTCATTTTTACTCTTATTGAGAGCAACCATATCTTCCTTCAGCTCCCTGATACACAATTAACCCTCATTCTGCTCCCAGGTTTAGACCTTTCCTCCTCTTCCATAAGCACCAAGCTCCTCATCTCTAGCCCAGAGGAGACTCATTTTCCCTTCCCAAATACAGATGGGGTCATTCTGTCCTTCGCTGATACTGATCGGATCTTCCTTCTCCTCCCAAATACTGACCTGCCCTTCCTCCAGTATAAAAAACCTGTCCTTGCTCCAAACTGCAGCATCGCTGCTGTAAGATGCATTGCTTTGGACCACTGGTTTTATATAACCGTGATAGCATCTTCCACTGGGAACCTGGGGCAAGCTTACATGCTCCTGGAGTTCTTACTGTTGCACCAAACATTATTTTGTATTCCCCATGACAGCCCTAGTTATCGATGTCTTCCACTTCTCCACGGAACTGGAACAACATGGGGTAAGTTTCCCAGGCACTGTTCTAAAGAACCACCCTAAGGGAATTTCAGTCTCTTGGACTTTTTAGTCCTGGGCCCTTCTGCTGAGGCGAGCAATAAGGGGGCCCAATTAATGTTGGTTGTGATGCTGCCTGTCAGGGGATAAAGGCCCACCCATTTGACGCAGGCCACTGACTTGGTCTCTGATGTGGTACTAATGTCTGGCCGGGTTGACATGACTAGCATAGCCCAGGAGGTGAAAGCCTTTGTATTAGGGGGCAGTATTCAAACCTGGGCATCTGCCTTCAGGTGCTCAGTTCTGTACATGAGTGCTCCCAGCAGCACTGCAGATGCTCAAATACATGCGTTAGCCACCTCAGCCCGATAGCTCCAGGTCAGACCGTGGAAGGAAGAGTCATTTTCAGTCAGGCTGCCAATGAGTGTTGAGAGTGACCTGCTGGGAAGGGCTTCCACACAGAATTCAGCAGGGCTCATTCTAAACAGTGGTGGAGGATCTTGCTAAGACCATGGCAGTTTCCAGATTAATCTCAAGATGTGCTTGCCTTCGTGTGGACCCTAGCGATGGGCTCAAACCCAGCCCTTCCCAATTCAAACACCCCTGAACTTTGGGTCCCAGATCCTTAGCTGAATTTTGCGGCTTGGGCTGATTTCTTTTCATTGCCTCCTTTCTGAAACTCCTGGTGTGGTTGCAGTCGACATGGGCTTCCAGAACAATTTTTAAAAGTCCCCAATCTATTTTGGGCATGGCTCATAGCTTGTCATTGGGCTGGTTCTCAAATCACTGTGCCATACTGTTGTGTGAGGATGTAGCATGGCCGTTTCGTTTAACCATGTGGTACCTTTGCATTACAATGCAACACACCCTTCCGGGAGTGGCATAATGTACTGATGCCACATAAGGCATGTCTACGCTGCAATTAGGGGATGTCATAGCTAGCTCAGTGTCACCAGAGCAGTGAATCTGCGGCAGCATGGGGCTGTACAAACCTGCCTGGAACCCTGGGTAATTACTTGCATGTCTAGCCCGTGCTGAAACGTGCAGTGTCTAGCCCACTAGTGCAGCCAAGAATTTTTCAGTGAGGAGAAACAGACTGAATGAAAGCCATCTGCCTGGATGGCATGCTTCCAACTGGAAATAAACCCAGGGCAAACTAGACCTTCCTTTCGCTCCTCCTTCCTCCATCCAGGCAAGCGCATGCATCATTCCCCCTTCCCTGAACATCCTCAGCTCCCGCCGCTGAGCTCTTACCTCCCAGTGTCGCAAAGAAGCCCTCCACGGCACAGCCCATAGGCCCGAAGATAAAGTAGCCGTTCCAGGCCGTGTAGAAGGTGACAGTGAAGCCAAAGCAAGCCATGAAGAGATCAGCCACGGCCAGGTTGACCAGGATGTAGTTGAGTGGCTGCCGCAGCTTCTTGTGCTTGAAAGTGACAAGGAGGGTGAGGAGATTGATGGGGAGCCCGGTGAAGATGAGGAAGAAGATGTAGCAGCACACGATTCGGTACTTCCAGGGTTCAGCTAGGTAATACTGTGGGTACTCAAAGGGGCTCCGCACCAGCCCTGTTTTATTGGAGAGCGGCACATAGAAATTGATACCTTCTGTCCCGTTCATCCTTCTGTTATTTTAGCAGCTGCTCTTTATTATTTAATTGTTTCTTTCTTTTTTAAAAACCAATTTAATTCTATTGTCGACCTCAGTAAAAAACAATCCCCCCACCCCCAACAGAAATCCTTAAGAGAATGCAGAGCTGGTGTGTTGTCCCTCATCTACATCCCAGAGCTGGCAGCGCCAGGATCCCATCGGGGTTTTTATATCCTTCGCCCACTTCTGCTGGAGTGGAGGAGGGAGTGAGGGCGGGAGGGGCGGATTAGGGTCTAGGCTAAGTTTGTATGACAAGGACAACGGGATTGAGAGGGGCTGATGGTTTAAGCGCCCTCTAAGCAGCTAGTTGGCCCCAAAACCTGCCTTAAGGCGTATTAATTTCCATTAAGTGTTTAATATCTTTGAAGGAATTTGGTTTATTTGGAAGTGAGGTGAGGCAGGAGCAGAGCGATAAATTGACAGGTGCTAACCATGAAAGAATGATAGGTGGGTAGAACGGTAGAACAGAGACAGGAGTATTGGAGAGGAATTTCTGTACCCACTTGAATTCGATGTAAATGGTAACCCTTGTGACTGCCCAGTAGCTAAGAAGGTGAGCTGGTCAAATTATTTGAGAGGAAGGATGGTTCGGGAGTTAGTGCACTGGCTTAAGACTTGTGAGACCTGGGTTAAATTCCCAGCTCTGCCACCGACACCCCGTGTGGCCATGGCCAAGTCACTTAGTCTCTCTGTGCTTCAATTTCCCATCTGTACAATGGGCTCTGTTCCACAGGGTGGGGGGTCTAGTGGTTAGTGTAGGGGATGTTGCAGTGGGGGAGGTTTAGATTGGATATTAGGAAAAACTTTTTCACTAAGAGGGTGGTGAAACACTGGAATGCGTTACCTAGGGAGGTGGTAGAATCTCCTTCCTTAGAGGTTTTTAAGGTCAGGCTTGACAAAGCCCTGGCTGGGATGATTTAACTGGGAATTGGTCCTGCTTCGAGCAGGGGGTTGGACTAGATGACCTTCTGGGGTCCCTTCCAACCCTGATATTCTATGATTCTATGTGGAGTCAGGACTCCTGGGTTCTATTTTTTTACCTGCAATTGTTTTTGCTTCTGCAATTGTATTTGTTAGTTGCCAATATTCAGCAAATAATTTGGAAAAGCAATTTCTGACTGCTGGGTTGTTTGTAATCTGCTTGCTTGGACTGTTCAGTATTTGATATTTGCTGTGTGTGGTTGGTCACTTAAGTCACATGGTATTTTTTCTGCTCCCTCACTGGCTTGCTGTCTGAAACTTCAGACAGAAAACAGGTTTCAGAGTAGCAGCCGTGTTAGTCTGTATTCGTAAAAAGAAAAGGAGGACTTGTGGCACCTTAGAGACTAACAAATTTATTTGAGCATAAGCTTTCGTGAGCTACAGCTCACTTCATCGGATGCATTCAGTGGAAAATACTGAATGCATCCGATGAAGTGAGCTGTAGCTCACGAAAGCTTATGCTCAAATAAATTTAAGTCTCTAAGGTGCCACAAGTCCTCCTTTTCTTTAGACAGAAAACAATGACTCTCACCCTTCCAACGTTCAGATTAATAATTGTTCATGGGAAAATTTATGAAATGTATGGGGTTTCATGAACATCTGAATACTCAAAATAGTGAACTGGATTCTGAGCAGAATCAGGTCCTCTCACTGCAGGTTCTGGCCTCATAGTAGGGACGGCTGAAGCAGCAACACTTGGATTTTGGATTGTAGCCGCAGAGCTTGGCAAACCTGAACCCACACCTAGACTGGCTCACAATCGAATAGCATCTGAATAGGTGCCTTGGAACATTGCAACATTAAATGTACTTGAGCGATATCATCAGCTTTGGGCATGTCCACATGTTGGGAAGCAACCAGCCTTCTTCTTTTGCAAGGCTCTTCTTGACCAACCACTCCTGTCCACGGCCAGCTCCTGCCTACCTCCTGTCCTTCAGGAGGAAGTTATTATCATTGTTGTTTATTGGGATGCGTTGTGGTAGCATCTACTAGCCGTAGTTGTGCCCAGGAACCAGTTGTGCTAGGCATTGTACAAACACAGAACAAAAAGACTGTCCCTGCCCCCAAAAGTTTATAGTCTAAATACGTACTGGGGTTTCTAGGCTGACGTCTCAACTGAATTACTTTGTAAGCCAAATGCTGTTACGATGCCAGGCTGCCAAATGGAACTAGCAAGAACAAATGCAGATGGTTCTGCTGGGTTCTCATTTCCATGCAATCCTTTCTTGCAGCCCCTGGTGCAGCTTAGCTGGGAGGTGGATTGCACTGGGTCTTTGTTGCAATTAGGTTTCTGAAGTATGTAATTGAACATCTGATCCTGCACTTGGAAAACCTTAGTGCTTTGAAGGGATACAGTGACTGGGAAATATCTCCTCCTTCCACTTTGGATGGTGGGCTGAATGTATAACCCTGTCCCCTCACCCTGCTCCTGCCCTGCTTTGGGGGATGAGCTTTTTTAAAAAAGGATATCATGGAGTCAGATCCATTGACTCATTCCACACAGACTCCTGGAGGAACAGCTACCAGAGGGTAATGAATTCCATTGCCTGCTGGGTTCTTGAACCAGAACCCCTGGGCATGTTCAGCTCCGAATCCAAACTTTGTAGCTTGGGATCATCCATGACAGATGGATCTGAACCAGAACTCCAGCTCTGAACCTTCTCAGATTTTACAGAAGTTTGAATCTGGATCAGAACCACATGGCTAAATCTCTAAGCATTTCCAAACTGGCCTTGATTCAAACCAGTGATTTAGAAGTGAAAAGCTCTATAGCCCCTTTCCCATGCCCTGCCCTATCATGTCATTTTGCCCTAGAGATTCTGAGGACCATGTCTTCAAAGAGATACATGCCAACAAGCGTGCGCATGACCGGGGTGCAGAACCCCCAGCACGTCAAAGTCCCAAGCATGCATTTGCACATGTGTTATTAAAAGGGGTGGTTCATATATTTAATCCCCTTGAGCCAAACAGTCTGTAACCTCAAAAAGAAAAGGAGGACTTGTGGCACCTTAGAGACTAACCAATTTATTTGAGCATGAGCTTTCGTGAGCTACAGCTCACTTCATCGGATGCATACCGTGGAAACTGCAGCAGACTTTATATACACACAGAGAATATGAAACAATACCTCCTCCCACCCCACTGTCCTGCTGGTAATAGCTTATCTAAAGTGATCATCAAGTTGGGCCATTCACTTTAGATAAGCTATTACCAGCAGGACAGTGGGGTGGGAGGAGGTATTGTTTCATATTCTCTGTGTGTATATAAAGTCTGCTGCAGTTTCCACGGTATGCATCCGATGAAGTGAGCTGTAGCTCACGAAAGCTCATGCTCAAATAAATTGGTTGGTCTCTGAGGTGCCACAAGTACTCCTTTTCTTTTTGCGAATACAGACTAACACGGCTGTTACTCTGAAGTCTGTAACCTGAATTTTAATGAAAATGTTTCCGGTTTGTCATTTGTAGAAGGATCATATCTTCCCATGTCAGGAACAGGAGAGCATTGTGAAGTCAGTTAAGTATCACTGTCCCCATTTTACAGATGAGTAAATCAGGGTGTATTGAGTCATCACAATGAATTGTTATCAGAGCTGGGAATAGACCCCAGGAATCCTGACTGCCATGCCCAGTCCTACCAGTTCCCACCAGTAGGTCACATATCCTCCCAGCTGTGGAAATAGAACCCAGAAGTCCTGACTCCCAGTCCCGTCGCGCTGTAACCCTCGAGAACACTTTATTTAAGGCCAGTGGTTTTCAACCTTTTTTCATTTGCAGACCCCTAAAACATTTCAAATGGAGACGTGGACCCCTTTGGAAATCTTAGGCATAGTCTGCGGATCCCCAGGGGTCCATAGACCACATGTTGAAAACCACTGATATAGGCAGTAGATGACTCCTGTTGTCTCTGACAGACCCAAGTGGCCTGATCCTGCTGCCTGCTGGAAGTCAATGGCAAAACTCCCCTGATCTGCAGTGGCCCCCACTTCTCCCTGGAGGTGCAGTAAAGGTCACCCGTTTTCCCAGTGGTGCCTCCCTTCATTCCTGCACTCCGCTTCCCTTCCCAGGCTTGGGGAGGGGAAAGCACTGTGGTGACCTCCCAGCCCGTCCCCTTTCCCCAGAGTGGCTCAGCTAGCCACATTAGGTGGTGTATACAATTCATTACAACATACTGGCCAATTAGGAGTCCTCAGGTCTTTTCGGCTCTGCTTCCACTCCTTGATCTGGACTGCCCTGCAAGAACCTGTCTCGTCTACGAGTATGCCATGGCTAGGCAATAAGATGGTTGAATTAACCCAGCTGGGCCTTTCCTGGCCTCTTTAACTCGTTCCAGAAACTGCAGCTACAGTGGGTTGCAGAAAGCTGGCATATCTGTCTGCCTATATCCATATATGTTTGTCTGTCTGTGCTCATCAGCATAATATCTAAGCATGGGGAAACATGTCACCAGGTTTCACAGGATACTAAATACCTAATTATTTGTGTTTTGTTTTTCTTGGGCTGTTTTCTATTTTTGCATCGGGGATGAAATATTGTATGTGTCACCCAGATTGAGGCGGGCCTGAGTCCGAGTCCCAGTTTAGTGTCCCAGTTTATAGGAGAATGAGTCTACTACAGCTGCTAGCTAAAGGAGTTGCTCTGTTAGCAGTAGTGGCTTGTGCTTTTAGCGCTGAAGAGCCAGGGTTCAAACCCTGTTGTTCCCAAGCATGGTCATTATATGCATTCCGTGCTTGGCTGAGCGCCTTCCTGTAAAGTATTGCAGATGGTGGAAATAGAGTGACAAGAACCAGCTTTCATATTATTTCAACCCTGAGGCGGAGAAAAGCCATGGAGCTCCACAGCCAACCAAGGGTTCATTTAGTAGACTTGGGTGGACACAGCACTGGAGCGTTATTATTGTTTAGCAGTTATATTACAGCACTGCCTAGAGAGGCATCAGCTAAGTCAGGGCTCCATTGTACTAGGTGCTGTACAAGAATTGACGGCCTGACT